TCCCAAGCAAGCAGCCAATTCAACACGATATCAAATACAGATTTTGCAGACGGATTTCGAGCTAGTAGAAGCAGAAAGCAAACAAGTTCATATCAAAATTCAACCAAGACAAAAAACAATATATATATATATATATATATATATATATATATATATATATATATATATATATATATATATTAATGTTCCTTGAAAAGTTCCTTGTGAAAAAATGGCATTGCCTTCTTTCAGTGTCCATCGTCAAGAGTTCCACACTCAGTAAAAAAAGCCAAGCACTTTACCACCAACATTCTTTCTCCTAGCTTCCTCATGGTCCATGATGCCAGCAGATGTAGTCAGCACAATGTAACCAAACTGCAGACAAAATTATAAAGAAACAATGTTATTCTACCTCTGATCTAGAAAATAAAACCTCAGCAGGTTGGAAGTCAAAATACTTCAAACAACTTGCCTGACGTGATGGGAGAAGCCTAGCAGTCCAGGGTTCAATTTCTTTGACACCCACATCGAAGCGAGGGCTGATGACGCCGCATTTGTTCAATCTTCCATTCAACTCGACCACTATCTTCCCAGCTCTGTGATCATCTACGTATTCAAATTCACCAATATAACCTAGCCAATACAGACAGACAAATCAGAACAGTTTAAACCTTGAAATCATATAGACAGTATAGAATACCAGACTAGGTACCATGCTTCTGCATGACAAGAAGAAACTTAATTATCACTTTCGAAGACGGTCTAATCATGACCTGCCTCTTTCCACGCTTCTCAGCATTGTACATGCTCTTGAGAGCATCATTCAACACACTGACCCTCACCATCCTCAACAAGCCTGTAAAGAAGCAACATTAGAGAATACATAGGTGAAACAAGAACTTGAAACCTGTAACCAAGTTATATGATCTCCAACAACTAAACACAATAAATTGGGATGCAGTGGTACAAAGTTGTCATTCAGTTAAAACTAAATTAATAAATACACAATTCAAACATTAGCATCACACTATAGCTTGTGATTGGAAAGGGGCAGCACAGTATGTGACATTGTAGATAAAAAAATAATAATTCAAAATCATAAATCATAAATAACCCATTAATAACATGCAATTTAAGTCTGTATAGCATGTCAAGTCTAAAAAGTACATACTTTTATTCAACATTTTATCCAGTTACAGACAGTACCGCTGACAACTGAATACACTAGCCAAGCATCATTCTTGGCATCTTCACCTTCTAAGATGCTATTGTTATGAACGAGCTAATATCAACTATCATCCTACCCATAACTTGACAAAGAAAGGGGGAAAAAAATTAAAAAACACAGAACCTATTGGAAAGAAGATTTGACAAAATTTAATGGCCATCAGACTAACAAAAACACCCTAAAAGTGATAGTGAACCCCTATCCATGGAATAATTAAGCAAGAGAGCACTTGGCCAAAGCCCTAAAAGGCTAGCCAGCAGATAGAAAATGAAATCCAAGCTCATGAATGATAAAACAACTTTTACACATGAAAGCCATAGATTCAACTCGAAAATGAAAGAAATTTATAAATATATATAGATATATTGATATGCTGCATTATACAATTTTTTAAATAATACCTTAAACTAATTAAGACCCATGACAACTAAATAATGTGAATGACATGAATGAAAGCTGCTAAAAGATTTTAATGCATTTGTCATTTTGTTACAAGATATTTAAAATGGAGTTCTTTCGTTCCTTGCACATGCATTTTAATAGTGACACTCTGTAGCACAATTAAGTAGCAAATTGAGCACATCAAGCTAATAACTGGGAAATTGAGATGAGTACTTTCTTTAGAGAAATAGAGAAGCTTGACTGGGAAATTGGGTCTGAGACAAATTAAGTTGTGTATATACAATGAAGCATGATTTGTAAGAGAGAGGTATAGATAAGATTCATAATGTTTGAGTGTTGGTGCAGTCAATAATGGAGAAATCGAACATGATATTGAGATGCATTACTTTGATCATTGGTGTCGATGAGGCCATCTGAGAGGAGACATAAACATGTTATTTAATCCCTCCCCTTTTTTCTCTCAAGTCAAACGATTAGTATATTGCATGGTGTCAATCAACCTTATGCATGCATGCATGGTTGAGTAGTACGCACTTACGGAAAGCTTCCCTTTTGATTCATTAATGAAGATTAGTGTTAGCTTATTCCAACAATACACTAACATCTCCTCTTAAAATAATTTTGAATAAATGCAAATTCTTCGCAATAATCAGAGTATTTCCTTTTTTTGGTTTACAATTGGTATGATTAATCATAGTCTCTTCTTTTGAGTGTTAGAATTGAATGCATGCATCTGAAAGCCAAATTTCAAATGCATGCATGCATCTCTACGTGACGTAAAGATATGAGTTATTTTTCTTTTGGTCAACACTAGAGATGATTTGTGGGCCAAAAATCCACAACTATTTGCATCACATAGTAACATTGATAAGATATGAATTGCTCGTAGTCATTTCTTGCTTTACAAATGATTCCACTCCACATGTGCATCACATGCATATCCTTTTCACAGACCCTCATATATATATATATATATATATATATATATATATTAGCAGCACTGCTCATGGGGTGTATGTCATGCGTATGTACAGTGGGAGTAGCAAATTGAGTGCATCAAGCCAAATTGAGCGCATCAAGCTAATAACTAACAAGAAAAAAATGTCTGTAAATGCTGAATCAATAGCATACAATACTAAAACCAAAGCATCAAATGTATTGGACACGGAGATTGCAGCTACAACGAACAAAATCGATGACTAAAAATAGATGCCAATTTTAAATACTGATTACAATCCAGCAAACGGCATATATACTTCACCAAAAAATAAACAATATCTAATCATCCGCATCAATTGACATCAAGAATGCATCTTTACGCCATAAATAAAGAGATCTGATTGGTAGGAAGGCAACAATAAGGTTGAGAATCTTAGGAGCATACACACAAAAAAAAAACAGAACATCAACGAAATAGAAAGAAAAAAAAACAGAGATATATCAAATCAAATAAAAAAACCATGACAAAACAACCAACGAATACGACTAAGGTCGAGAGAACGAGGAGAAGAAGAAAAGCCAATTAAAATTGAACCTTGGACGAGGAATCGCTAAACCTCTAGATCAGGAGACGAGAACAGGACCGGAGCGGACAGGAACGTCGGTAGCGGCGGGTACGATGCCGCGCCACTATTTTAAGCAGTTTAGATTGTTTAGGTCCCTAGGATCGAGATCGAACGGTCAATATAGCCTGATGGCGTCGCAACCCTCCGGTTGCCCTAGTTTTTATTCGCCAATGCATGTTAGGGCAGAAGACAGCGGCATTGACGATTTGGAGACTGACACGTGCGCATCCTGTGAGAGAGGTTTGGACCGGTTTTTAGAACGACTCGAACATAATTAACTTAAGAGGGCATCAAATTATTGCCTAAATATGGCGAGCCCAAAAGCTAACAACTAACAATAATTTTCCCATTTGCACGATAAAATAAAATAATATGTGGAATACATAAAATAATTTCAATGAACGTATTTTATAATTTTATTATGAGATATGATCGACGCATATAATTAAATATGATATGAAAAATAGATATAGGAAAACAAAATAAAAGATAAAGCTGCTAAAATTATACCAAGAAATAACAAAAAAATAATACCAAGTATAATATCCCAACTAAAATATCGTTCGTCTTCCTCCTACTCGAGCGCTCCTCCCACATGTTTCTCCCTGCTTTCCGGAGATGGATCCCAACCTCGAACACCCGATGCCTCCTCTTATAACCCACCATTGCTTCCTCCTCCACTCCGTCACTCTCATCCCTTCCTCCTCTTCTCATCCGTTTCCCAGCGTTCTCACCCGTCGCAAGATTGGAAGCTCTCCGGAGGGAGAAGAGGCGGAGGAGGGGCGAGGATGCTGCAGAGGGCCACGAGCAACGTGTACTCCTGGTGGTGGGCCAGCCATATCAGGACCAAGCAGTCGAAGTGGCTCGACGAGGACCTCCACGGTCAGTCTTTATTAGAAATCTCGCTTAAGATATTGTTGTTGTTGTGGTTCTTACTTCTTGTTGGATGCGATTGCTTGCTCAAGCTGCAATGTGGTGTTGGATCGATCATAATCCCTAATTTTGTTCCAAATTTTCAACTTTAGCATTAGATTCTTTCTTAAGGGGAAGAAAAGAAACAAATTTGGGGCTTCATCAACAATTTTAGATTCGTTTAAAAATTCAAGCTGTGTCCCAACATCATCATGTGTTCTTTCTTAAGGCGTAGAAAAGATACAAATTTAGGG